ATTTCAACATGGCGAATATAGACGCGAATGAATTAGATTCATATAAAAGGCTGGAGAATAGTAAATATTAAAGAAATTTCTTTTCGCCTAAAAATGGGTACTTGATTCTTTAATTCCTTTTTAGCTCTAAACTTTCGCCCACATCCGTTTTCTTCATGTATATGACGTGTTAAATCAAAACTATTTAGGTGTCTAGTGGTAAATTCCTCATTTTCACACCTTTGTTCATCATATACAGTTGGTTGAAAACGATTTAAGTAGATTCTTAAAATATTCTTAGATGAGAAATTATGTTCGTATTTCTGCCCTTCAAAAATTAAGTGCCTATTATCATCATCCTGCGAAGACTTTGAATGATTGCGGACATTGTATCCATTTGAATAACTTCCAGAGGTGAAACGTTCCTCATCACAAATAAATGGTTGCGTGATATTTAGGTTATTTCTATGGTTATTTTTCGCCGAAAAATTTATTTTACTTTGTTGTCTATTGTAGGAATCATTCTTTCTATCATTTCTTTTATATTTACTATTCTCCAGCCTTTTATATGAATCTAATTCATTCGCGTCTATATTCGCCATGTTGAAATGGTATTGTCGTTTCGGATCCATGTTCGCCTCCGATTGTTGCTGAGGTATCACATTTCGATTCAAAAGCAAATGATTTCGCAGATCCTCTTCGCAAGCAAAGGCTTCATGACAGCCAGGATTCGTACAAAAGAATTGATCTGAATTTTCTATTTGTGTCAAATTTTCATTTTCATAGGATTTGTCATAGATCGTGGATAATGTTGAAAATTTATTGTTCGTTAATCCATCCGGTAATGACTTAAAGATATCATTGTCTTCCGATCGTGGGGCATTTGCAATTCAGGTATTGAAATGTTAATCTTTATTTATGCGGTCTTGAGCAACTTTAGAATCTGACTCACCTTGGAAATCATCAAAATCTTGTCCTAAATTATATATATTGAAATAGTTTAATTTGATTAATAAATTCACTATTAATGCCACAAACGTCATTAGTTTAACATATAACAAACCTAGAGAATCTTCAAAATCTCGATCTAAATCAATTTGCGGTGATTCATAGTTGTCAAATGAATCAGATGTCACGCTTTGATCACTATTCACACACTCTTCACTTGATATAGAATATATATCCGCCTTGTCACTATCTACTATAAATTAGTCGACAATTCACCGCCATTAATTTTACCGTTTTTATTTTCAAATATAATTTTTAAATTATAAAAATAACAAAGAAAAATTTCCTGCATACGTACCTAATTTGCTTGAGTGAGAAACTCTTGAATAAGGAATAGGTTTTTCAATTAGCTCATCTTCGGAGCCTTTTAATAAATTCGAATTTTAATTACACCTTTCAGTTACATAACGACAGTACAGCAATAATAATCAAACGCATACTTACTGGACTCTGCTTCCGAATAAATAAATTCGAAAGGAATTCTTCCTTTTAAGTTCTTACGCATGTTGGTACGTAGTAGCAAACGTAAACTATCTCCATGTGTATTTCCAGAAAAGGGCTATAAATTATTACACAACGTCCCAAGATTTACTAGTATAAAGGCAAGCTATTTGATTGGTCAATGTTTCACGATTGTCACGATTGTCACGATTGTCAGGAGTTGTAAAACAGAAAATCTATGGACAGTTCTTAGGGACAGTTAGGGTTATTGGTTTTTAGTAGTATCATATGAATTTTACTGTCCATACTGTCCCCATAGATTTTCCGCTAGATCGCCACCAAAATT